ACTACAATAACAATGTCACGATTTTTGTTTTGCACTCTTCGCTGCACAGTGAACACTTCGGTAGAATTCCATGGAATGAAGTAAAGAATAAAATATAAACTCCGTTATATTTAAGTTAAAGGTTAGAATCTAAGTTCTACGAAATAAAAATAGTATTCACTGTATTTAGACACCCAGTAAATGTTATTTTACTCTGCCAAAAAGCATTTTCTATTCTTCGGTTTTATTGAAATTTTAAAAGGTTTAATTTTAGGAATTCAGTTTTCACCATTTTCAAGTAAACGGTGTGTGACTTCGATAGTAAAAAGGTATTGCGCCTAAATGTAGGCAAATATTAATTTTTATTATTTTAGTGTGGCACCCATCAATAAATTGATTTTAAAGGTATATTGATATACATATAGTTTAGGGATACACAGTAAACATTTTGACGGTAAAAATGTATCTTTCTGGAGTTACTCGCGATCTCCGACAAAAAAAAAACAAAAAATTTAAAATTGACAAAATTTCGGCGTTCAAAAAGATTATATTTTACCCAAAACTTTTGTCAAAAACTATTGAAGATATCTATGAATGATTTTAACATGTTATTTATATGATACAGACTATCGAATATATTTTTTTAATATCACACTAAATGTGCCCTTTCATAATTAGTAATAAAAATTTGGGGACAGAGAAATCCCTTAAAAAATTGAATATTTGAATAACAAATTAAAAAGTAAATATTTTTAACTTTCGCACTCATTCATCTACATATGTATGTGTTCATCTTATATCCGCTCTCCATCAGTAAAAGCATAGTTTGCGAACACTGTCTGTCTTTCTTATTAACCTTCTACTACCATTGACCTCGATCTCGTGCGGTTAAATTCCTTAGTGACGATACGGTACGATGTACACACATCTATTCACAAATATACACATATACTCACATACATACATCCATATGTACTCATGCATATAATCATATCAATTTCTATTGCCTCTGCGCATGAGTCATCGCCAGTTCAAACGGTAATTTTGTAGCTGCTTTTATATATATGTATATATATAACTCTTATTATACCTGTAGAAACGTTACCTAAGCACCTACGTAAGACATGTGCTGGTTTTCATGCGCTCCGAACCATTTGAAATCCGAGTGACTGCACACTACATTGGATTTGCTCTGTTTGCCACTTAGGTAACTGATTGCTCTTTCTCGAAACTAACCCATACACTTGCATACACACCATACATACATATTTGTGTTTGAGTGGATAGAGTAGGTTGACGCTTAAAAATGCACACCATGTTTCACACGATTGTGTTAACACACCAAATCACTAATAGTCTTGCACCTATGTGTACCTATGTATGTGTGTGTATGCATATGTATGCATACATAAAAGATACATGTGTTTGTTTGTATGCAAACGACTTTGATTTCGGCTTCGACTTAACTCGAATTGACTTGACGCGACTGGAACGCATTGTCACCTTCATTCAGTTCATTCGTTCAGTGTTTGCTCTACATGGTTTTCATGTATGTATGTAAATGTAAATATGTTAGCATGCGGCGTATAACTATACAAATGACTTGTATGACTGTGGGTAATTTACACTCATTACTTGGGGTCAGGTTACAAGAGTGTCGGCGGCTCTTGTTTGCTCTTCATTTTTAATATTTTTATGAACACATATACATACATATATACATATATATATGCATGTCAGAAAGCAGTTGGTGTCTTTACTTAAATGAACTGCATGTTTCAAGAGCGCTTATGATATGGTACATATGTATGTATATATGTTTAAGAGTTTTTTTCTTCTCTGTCGAATTGGCTGATGTAATATAGTGTCGAAATTATAGCAGACGTCACAGACCCCCAACTACTCACCGTTGAGCGGTTATCCACGCGTCTACCCTCATAGTTCACATAGCGTCTACCGGTCGGTTTGGCAGACATCGTCTTCATATGCGTTAGGGTAAAGAGATCTCGTATGTGAGCACAAACAACGGCATGTCGGCGACAAATCATACGGAAATGTGTATAGACCACAAACCGTACATGAGTACAAACAAAAATAGGCGGCTAAATTGCATTGTTGAACGCAAAAAAGTTGTATTTACGATTAGGTTGAAAATGAAAGTCATTGTGTCATTGCACGCTATGAGATTTTCCCTATGCCACCATAAGCATTTGTGCTGCTGCCATTAGAGCATTGTCACGTGAGTGGTTTGCAATGCCATTGAATAAATAGTAAAAGTACTTGTTGGTAATAGTGCGCGTGTTTGTGATGCATGGGCAGAAAGTGGAAAAATCCCTTAAAATTCTTAATATGTTTTAAATGATTCAGAAAATGCTGATGTAATTTCCAAGTAAATGAAAATAAGCAAGTGTGTTGAGAGTCTGGAGTACTATGAATAAGCTATAGACAAATACAGTTTGCTCTTAATGAATGTTCATGAGTATAATGGAAAAATATTCCCCCTAGTTTGATAAATGCTTAGTTGTTTTAGTTATTGGAAATAAACCAACTGAATGCCCTTCATGTTAGCAAGTATTGGATCAGATAAAGAATAATTGAAATGTTTGTCGTATTTTAATACAATTATAACTTGTATAATAAATAATTTACAGTAATATTTAAATGGGGCACAACTAGCGCGACAAGCTATAAAAGCTATTAGGAATTAAAAACCCTCTGTATCAGTTGAAATTTTAATTAAATATTTTTACACATTTTAAAAATGTACAGTCAATTTTTTTTTTTAATAAAAAAAATATAATATTTTTCGAGTACAGCGATTCCGACAGTCTCCGTGCATGAAAAATTCCGACTAGAAAACATTGTCTGTGCAGTACTTAATCAATAAAAATTGACAAAATGGCGACGTTTTTGAAAAAAGTTAAGTTTTAACCAAAAAAATATAATTTTGATCAGATCAAGTAACTGGTAGGTCATTGTATGGTGAACTATGTATAAACAGAACATGCAGAAAAAAATTTCTAGTGATTGTTTGTCTCCCAGTAATGACTCAAGCAAATTGTAAAAATTTAAAATGATTGTCTAAATTACTATTGATGACTACACTTTGAAAGGCTGTAACTCACAAAATAAAAGAAATTTTCTTTAAGTAAATTTTAGTGTGTTATTTTGGACGAAAATACTGTCGATATGTGTAGGCAAAAATAAATTTTTTTTCGAAATTTCACGCTTAGTGTACGCCTTAAAATGTTTTTGTATTTTCTTACAATTTTTTATAAAAATTTTGTGTTATTTTTAATTATTTAAATGATTATTAAGAGGTCAAACACCAAATTTTATAGTGACATACTTGTATGTAGATTCTCTCTCGCATTTTTATGTTAGTTTTAGCAGATGATGTTAGCATATACTGTTAAATACGCTGTTGCTGTTGGTAAAAAAACTTGTGGTATAATAAAGTTTATTTTAGTTATATGTGATAAATCTATAAAACATATACATTTTGAATAAAAAAGCTAATTTATTATAACGGAAATGTTTTTAGCGCGCAATGTATCGTCACCTTAAATGCAAAATAAAGCAACAACACTTTTCAAAAGTTTGCAGGAGACGGAAAAATAATGTAAAAAAAATTCAGTTTTTTTGAAATCTAGTTATATCTGGTAATAGATGCTTAAAGTTTCATATATATATTTATTTTATATGATATCGTGAATCGTAATCAACAACAAAAAACGCAATTTGGAATTTTTCGATGATATGTTCTTTTGCAATTTAGGTGACGACATGTAACTTAAAATTTGCGTTAGACACAATATTACTTCAATAATCAAGCAAGCATAGAGAACTATTTCATCATAAATTATATTTTTCACTTGAACAGGCACTCATAAGTATATATGTATGCATATATCACTTTAATGCCAACTCATCGAAATTCTTTAAATTTGCATTTAATCAGCTAATTGGTAGTCTATTAAAAAATTACAATGAATTTTGTTCGTGTGTACTTTAAAATTATTATTTTTAAGTCCAAACGTGTTTCTAATTGTAATATGTATATTATAATTATTTTTCAAAATAACCAATTAGATATCATACTATTTATTAGTCCTCACTGTCACATGATATATACATGTACATGTATGCCGATTTCAATAACCCTTCCTATGAAGACATACATACGTGAAATACAACACGTATATATGTAAATTAAAACATTTCTTGGAATCGTTCACGGAAATACATTAATCTATATATACATGTATACCCCTATATGCCCATTGATGTCACATACATATGTAAGTCTAAGCGTGTGTGTTATCAGCTAGCAGAAAGTTTTTAAAATTCACACCAAATAGTATGCCAAGGGTATCTATTAGTTTGTGAGGCGTGAATCATCGTATTGATGTACATACTATGTATATATGAATCAGCACATTTTAAGATAGACCAGAGTTTTAAAAAAACTATATTTGGTGTTATAAAGGCTAATAACATATTTTTTAGATAATTACTGGCCAGCTAAATAATTTTATATAAATTTCAATAAAATAATAATCGAAAAAATATTTACAAATTTAATTATTTACAAATACAATAACAAACATGTCAAACCTTTTCCTATTCAAAATATCATGAATTTATATGAGGTTGTGTTTTTAGTGAGCGTGCTTTCTCTTAAGATAATATATTTTTATATTTTTCAAGCAGCTGATTTTGACATTATGTTGTTAATTGTGCTTGCTTAACTTTTAAAGTTGTTGTATTCTATGAGTGGCGTTGTTAAAAATAAAATTTTATACCCAAAAAAAATTGAAATATAGTATATTCGAAAACTGATTTCATAAGTAAAATATTTTTTTTATTTATATTTTGTTTATAATTAAAAAAAACTACATACAAATGCTTATCTCTCTAAATTAAATTCAACACATTTTGTAATTTGGATTTTGCATAACATTCTATGATACTAAATATTAAAAATTTTAGGTGAAGTGCATATATCAAATATTTCGTTAGTTTAATTAGTTTAATATATTTTATTTAAATAATTAGCAAAAAATAATATTACGCACAAAAAATTTTTTTTTTATATGTTTTTAATTTTTTTTCAGTAAATAACAAAATCGTTTTCTCTTAAAATTGAAATTTTTTTGTCATTTTGATAAAAGTAAGTGCAATCATTTCTTTTATTCGAAAGGTTTCTTGCTTAAGTCTTCTGATTTTCCTTTCCTTTAGTGTCCACTCCTGAGCCAAAAACTTGAAAATAATGAATGAGAAGCCATAGATGTCCTATAACTGTACAAAAAATAAAAATAGACTATTGCTGATTTGAGCTCCGAAAATTTCATTACATATAAATACATACTTACTGGAATTATGTTACGAGCATAATTTATATGAAAATGTTCCATTTAAAAATTCTGAATTCTGCTGTACTTCATTCATCTTTCAACTTTATTTCGCAGAATTTGCCGCAACACGAATGTTCTTAGAAAGAAATTACTACATTATAAGCATATTCGTGTGGATTCATAGGAAAGAAATTAGATTATATAAGTGTTTGTGTGTATTTGTCAATGAAATTAATTGCTTTCGAATGTTTAGTAGCCAATACCATACCTTCAAGCAGACAAGTGTATGTATCTGTGTGTGTGTATGTGTAAGTATACAAGTAGATAAGCAATTTACTGATGCCAGCTTAAGGCCGTTATAACGCTTGAGCCGATCTAAGCTAATCCAAATCTATACATGACAAATGACTCCAAATCGACTGCCGACGGTCAGCCACAGCGGCCAGGATGACGTGAAGAAATGCATGTCGGCATGCAGGCACACAAGAGCCGCCGGTGAACGGATCGCCAATGAGGCTAACTACATCAACGTGCTGTTGCCAAAAGCCTACACACACATGCATATATACATGCATACGTCCATATGTACTATATGAGTCGTTATATTCACATTTCATGCGGCCGCTAGCTGGCGGTGCAGTGGGCTATCTCCAGGTGGCCACGATGGCGGCAATTTGTGCGCATAGCAACAAGCAATGAGCCGCCGGCAAACGGCAGAACAAATGCACTCACATACATAAGTTTGTATGTATGTAGGTGCCTATGTCTGTATGTAAGTATGTGCATATGTATAAGTATATGAGAGTGTGTGCATGCCGCCGGTGACTTCGTCGAAACCTGTTAACACACCAGCAGCTCCGGGGCTTCCATTCACACTTTTTTTGTATCTTTCCTCATTTTTTGCTTTGGAAAATTATTCGAATGCAACGAATTGAATTGACCAAGTCGTACGTGTATGTGTGTGCTGCACTACACGAGATTGCGAGCCGGTTGCAGCGCATACCTTCGCCTCTGGCAGCACTCGCCAACTATTTATTAATGAATTGCTTCTTCTTCTTCTTGGAGCGAGTTATTTTTTATTTTTTTGTAGCGCTTAACATTTAATTCATTTCATTTGAAACTATTCAGCTTGTTTTTATTGGTGTTGTTGTTCATGCTTAGGGGACTTTTGTAATGAAATCCTGTGTGCACACACACACACCCGCACTTATCTGTGTCACATACTTATCATCGATTAACTAAAGGCAACCGATCAGACGGTAAAATTCTAAGAAGCAAATATTGCATCTTGTGAGGGCTTTTCCGGCATTGATGCATAGAACTTCCAAGAAAGCGACCAGTCAGTTAACGGAAAACGAACTGGTCGTATGTATTGTACATATATGTATGATCAGACATCAATATGTATATGTGTGTATGTGCTCCTAGCTCCTAGGCCAACACATTCCAGTTTTAACAATTGCTTTTGATCCGCTGAGGTCAAGCTGTTTGATTGGCCAACGCTGCTGGTTGTACGCCTGTGTGCGGCGTATGGCACTTCAAACGATATTCCATGGAAATTTTTCGAATCGAATTTGCCGTTAACGTGCGCTAACCCACGTGTTGATCCTACTACTTTTCAATTTGTGGCATAGCAACAATTTTCTTCTTTCACTTTTTGTGGCTTTCATTTTTCAAGCAAATTAGACTTGTTGGCCCAATGACTGCCCTTAAAGGTATTGCGACGGCCTGCTATGCACATAGATTACTATTCATGGTATGCTGTGCATGCGATCACTTTTGGGAATGTAGTTATCAAAATTTGTATTGCCAGTCATGTCGAACGTTTGCCCATAATTCTGCATGTGTGTCATGTCGCTTACAGCAGCCTTAAGTGCATAACATAGGCATGAGTCATGCAACCGGAATGCAAATTAGAGAGCGCTTGCATGTGCTTACTTAGATGTGTATAAATATGTATGTATGTATATATGTCAATGAACACTTGTCAAACAATGGCATGATTATTGAAATTGTAGGAGTATTGCTTTTGATTGGCTATCTAATGTCGAAAAGTGTATATAATGTACTTATATATGTATATATTCGGTGGTTGTCTGAGCCAGCTTCTTTATACCCTGAACAGGGTATATAAAGTATGCCACGAAGTTTGTAACACCCAGAAGGAAACGTCGGAGATCCAATCAAAATATTTATGTATATAAATGATCAGCGTGATGAGCTGAGTCGTTTTAGCCATGTCCGTCTGTCTGTCCGTTTGTATATAGGCGATACCTCTCAATTTTTGAGATATCGATCTAAAATCTTGCGCACGTCCTTTTCTCCAGAAGAAGCTGCACGTTTAGACGTACAATTCCATTACACACCCTTTATAATTCATTTACAAAAAAGATCGCGCAGTAAATATTATTATTTAAAGACATTTTGATTTAAGCGCCAACTGTCTGATATTTTTTAGTGCGATAATTCCAGAAAATCACCTGCTTTGAACTCGATTTTACCTAATAAGTCTAACAGGTTTTGGAGCTACCAATTTTTTTAATCGATAAATAGAAAAAAAATGTCATTTTATAAGTAGATGTATAAATATGGAAACTGAAACCCAAGTATATGTATATATATTTAGTCATAAGACTATTTTAACATATACGGCAAAGTGTCACACAGATATGTATCTCTTAACTGGTAGTATATAAGTATATATACATATGTTTTTTTTTATTAAAAATTAAATCTATATACATAGAGAATTTCGAAAATGTTGGAGAAAATTATTATTTTGTGCCAATAAGGCGACATCATTGGCTAGACTATCGTCATAGGGCCTTGACAATTCCATTGTTAGAGATGGCTTAGTCGATTGCAAAAGTTTGTGCTGATGTCTACTTAAACCATACCTACTATACATACATAAGTCGTTTCAATACACATTACAACTGATCTCAAAATGGACCAGTTCTTTGCTGCCTACTTTATGACTCAATATTAACTGGTTGCAAACGGTTATACTATAAGGTAGCACATGTCATAATGAATATCGGAATGCGGCTTCTAAAAAATAAAATGTCAGCATACTTATCGGAACAAATATTACTAAAATGAATACATACATATACACAAATACTTTTCAATTCCTAAATTCCAAGTCTTGGGGACTGCTGAAACTCATATCAATTTTATTATAAGAATTGTGCGGCTATTATCCCAGCTTTCAAAATAACAACTTCCATTCTAGTCTATCCTCAGACAGATTTACTACCGGGTTGCATAGGAAATCTTGAAATCACCGCATTCGGTGTGTGGAGGACACCTTGAGTTCGTTAAACGCACATAACACAATTTAGAGCTAAATCGATGAATGTTTGCGCTCGCATTAATATGCTGATAAATGAGTTTATTCTGCAGAATTACGGACTATCTGTTTAAGACATACATAAATATTAAAAATATATTAAATACATGTTATAATTAGAATTTCGCTCATATTTTAAATTATTTTCTTTGTCGAAAAGAAATGTGGCTGTGGCAACTGGCATTGGGGGGATCGTCGATTCGTCATTGTCAGCGCTGGTGGCTGAAAATCTGCTAATAAGACTCGTTTGCATATTTCACTCTCCTTCTTTTTGTGTGTTTGTGTTTGTGCTTGGGTATTTTATATAAATGGATTATTTTAAGTAGCGCGATGTCATGCACGTTTGTGATTTTGTGCCAAATCGGTGAGAAGACCGGTTGACGTTTGCAATCTTCTTGGGAATCCAAAAGAAATGCTAATATAAAATAGTGAAAATGTGAACGAATAAATTAAGAGTAGAATGACCCTGAGTTTATTGTGAAATTACAATTTTATTACAAATTTGTATATGTTATATATACATGCATATACATATGTACATATATATAAAGAATTTCATGTAAAGAATTATAGACATTTCATAACAATATTTAATTTTTGCTAAAATTTTTATTAAGTAACCATAAGTTTTCGAATATTGTATACTAGGTGAAATACTTGACTTTCGTGAGCTCAAAAATATATACCCTGGAAATCTTGAGCTTGCCGCAGCTCATTGGGTTTAGTATTGAGTTTTTCGTTTATTTTTGCAACTGAGCGAGTAAAAAACATTTTCAGTTCCTCATAAATAAATAAGGTGTTGACAGCTATAACTTAATTAACTTATATTAAACATCTGATCTGAAATGAGTTAAATGCAAGTTATAGAATATTAATCTCGAATTTGGAAATTTCGTAAAATATTTCTGGACCAGCATTGAATTATGAAAGAAACTATCCGCTCATATCGAAAATGATTACTACTTTTACCTATAAGGTGAAGAATGTTTTCTAGACAACGCTTGAATTGAAGTTCATAACCACTTGAATACTTCAAATAAACGAATTTTTTTATATACTCTCATATATCGAATGTACATATATGTATTTTAAAATATTTTCCGAAAATGTAAAGTTGGTCCGGCCAATAGTTTTGGAGATATGCAGGTATTTTAAGTAGGTCGTCGAGCTTTTGAATCGACAGCCAAAACTTTAAATTCGTTTTTCTCGAAACGCTGTTTTCAGAATAGTTGAGAAAAATTTTCTCAAAATGGCTGGACCAATCAACTTGAAATTTTCACCCCAGCTGCTTATATAGCTGCTTGTACGTATATTTGTCAGATAGGGATAGAAGGAAGAAGATTTTTGATAATGATATAACCCTTTAGACATTTTTTTATCCAGGCTGCAACAAAAAAATGTTCAGGTGTTATTCACTGTTTACTGTTACATGTCACGTGAACCTTTTTTCTTTCATGCCATTGAACATATTTATTTCGAACCCCAGATTAATATTTCTCGGTGATTTTGCTATAAATCAAGTTCAATGATAATTGTAATTTTTCACCCAAAATTGAGCAAAAGTGTGAGATAAAACTGGCAATAGGTATAAAAATTCATAACTAAATAAGACAAAAATTTAACTCTAAAAGTCTTAATGGAATAACCAAGTAAATTATCTTAGAACCGCCGCCTAATTGCTAACTCTTGCATATTAATTGCTGATATTTGTAACATTTAACAGAACATGACAGCTCTTGCAATTTACACAAAGTTTGCACAAATTATTCGGACTTGCCAATAAATGCATAAGTTAAGCTATAAACGTTTATACAAGTAGCTAGTAATCAAATTGGCATACTTAATTACACACGAGTCATTAACTTACATATTTACATACAAGTAATGAGACAATTAATCTTGGGTTAGTGGTTAATAGCTTTATTTCAATAGTAATTGAATACAGTCACGTACAAAATTTCCGCTTGTACAATCACTCTATACGCATACATATATATGTATATGCGTATATAGAAATAATATGTATTCATACAAATATACATAGCATACTTCTACATCTTAATTGGTAGCAGCAGTGATTTCATAATATTTTATAATAGCGGTTAGCTTTTATTAGCAATCATTTATCTTTCACTGCATTTGCTTCTACATACATATAATATATATATTTAGTGCATATTTGTTGCAATAATTTCTAATAAAATAAATTCGCACAGATGTGCTTGCCTTTCTTGTAGTTAATTGCGATTCGTTTAATGTGAAATTTCCTCATTTTTTTGGCCTTGATATTTTGACATTTCTACAATTACATTTGTTAACTAAACGAATGCAAGTCGCAGAGATTTGTAGCAACTAATGTGTCTATGATACACCAACACTCAAGTATAAATTTTAAATTTATATTATAATATATATGTAAATATGTACCATATAATATACATATAGACAGCCATTATATATGGCATGCTTAGACATCAAAGTGCCATATGAGGAAAAATAGTGTCGGTAGCTGCCGTCATGATTATTTAAGAGATTATATTTAATCTCTCATTGAAAACAATGTCCGGTTGAAATCTACTACAAGGCTACGATGTACAGTTATCGGTTCCTGAACGAGGCTCTGTTATTAAACCTACCAAGCCTTTCTACCAAAGTCCAGAAAATTTAATTGAGATTCTAAATGAAATGAATAGTCAGAAATACAACAAACACATCAGTTTGACAAATGCAATTAAATAGAAAATCAGCTGTCCGGCTGATACTAAATTATTTGAAGTCGCCTTGAATCTAATGAGATGAAAAAGAAAAGAACGAACAGTCGAACCGAAGATAGTTGAAAACAAAACAAAAACCGAGGTTAACATTTAATACCCTTCACAGGTGCATTTCTTATAGAATTAAGAGGTACAAAAATTACTTCATCTTAATATTGATCGCTCAGATTGACTATTAGCTTTATGTGCTATAGTGGTTCGGGGTGAAAACTTTGTTGGGAGATTGTAGTGTTGTCTTGGATAATAACCTGAGACAAATTTCGTGAAGTTAATTTGTCAAACAGAGAAGTTTTCCTTACAAGGACTACAGTTTGATCGATCAGTTTGTATGGCAGCTATATTCTAAAGAGTTCTAATACGACAAAACAGCAGCTTCTTGGGTAGAAAAGAACGTGGGCAAAATTTCATATCGATATCTCGAAAAGTGATGGGCTAATGCGCGTATATACAGTGAGACAGACATTACTAAATCGATTCAGCCCGTCATTTATACTTATATAAACTAGAGGGTCTCCGACGTTCCATTTTGGGTGTTACAAATTATTTGGCAAGCTTAAATTTTATTTTAAAATAAAAATTTAATTACTAATATTCACATATGGAATATTTTATAAAAATATTAAAAACGGCTAAATATCATAATTCTACCTGATGCTTTTATTAAGGAAGCTCTCATCAATCTACCTATAAATCTACATATGTACACCTGCCAATTCTAGGATCAAGCCAATCATACAAATATACATACACACATACTTATAAGCAATCATATGCACAACAAGTATGATCATGCAACTGTGCATCTGGCCTATGAGCTAATACAGATTGAAATACTCACATACAGTTTAGCCTCTGTACATTTATCTTTCGTTTGTAATCTACTTGTACAATTGTTTTCTGTGTTCTTAATTTTTTGTTTTTGCACTACGAATGCTTTGTAGTTGCCGACATTTAGTCGTATCTACCTCATTCACAGCCAGTCAGACCGGCAGCAATAATTCTTATTAAATTATTTGCAAAAACTTGAAAACTAGAAGAGAATAATACTTTGTCACGCTGTCAGACAGCGCAGACAACTCTTGTATATTGTAGATATATTCACACGACTTCAGCGATATATCACTTGTTAGCATTTCAGTATATTATGTGTATTTGTGGCGGAACATTGTCTTGGCAGGTATCCACCATACATATACCTAAACGCGCCTACTATAGCCTAGAATATGTTGAATTGTGGCAGCTTCTACTTATCCACTATTTGCTGCCGTTCCAATGCCTAGTTTGCCACAGATCGATTCTCAAGTGATCAGATTAGTGCGGCGATCAGTGCGACTCAGTGTAGAATAGTTATCTTGGCAACAGACTTGTCTGAGCAGTTTGCACTTCTACTGCCGCACAGTTGTTCCACCTGCCTCCCCCATTCACTTTCCCAGCTGTCACTGCCAGTGCCAACGTAATTGAGGCGAGCTGAGTTGCCTGAAAGCTGTCGCGTGTTCGAAAACTGTATAGTCATGTTAGTTGTATTGCAATTCATAAGTGAGACAATAACGGGTGTTCCAACATTTAAAATTTCTTTGTCAAAAAACAAAAAAATACTAATAAAAGTGGACCAAACTGAGGGTGAAATTCTCTTCGAGGCAAAGCTTGATCTTGCATGACACGATCGTCGATCATGCTTTGAAAATTATATTTTAGACGTGGTTAATTGCTTCTATAGCCTTTAATTACAAATGATCGTAAGAGAAGTGGAAAATATGACTTTTATGTTGAAATTACGGCTACAATTATGGTATTACCGCCTCAACTTAGGTGGCTCTATGGATTTCGCTCTTTGCGATGCCAGTCGCCTCTGCTCACCCATTATCCGCAAATGCTCGTACATTCACTAATGTACTAAGTATGTATGAATACGACTATATAGGTATGTAGAGAGTTTGTGCGCTTAGCGACATGAGAATAAATTGCTTCGTGCTGCCACAGTGTCTGCCACGTTCGCATGACGTAAAGCGTCTTTATAGAGTTCGGTGCTTTTCATGCCAATTGGTATGTAATGTGACTGGGTTGTGGACGGACAGCGGGGTGGGAACAGAGATGTCGGTTAAACTGTTTCGTTTCTGTTGGCGAGGCCCACCATGAGGTTGCTGCGGTTTTTTGTATGTATGTGCTGCACACACGCGATTACCGATTGCGGTTTGCACATGAGAATCATATATGTATACAGTTTCCACTGCTGCATTAAATAATGCACTTACATATGTACACATGTATGTTTGTATATATGTGTCTTAAAACATTTCCATTTCATTTAATTTGTATAACGTGCAAAAGATCATCAGTATATACCATATAAATATATATATATATATATACATATATAGCTACATACATAATATATATATATATATATATGCTTTTTTTTTGAGATCAAAGCACTAGCGATCCGCACCCAGCCGGAACGCTAATAGTCGGCCAGCACAGACAAACTGGCAACTATCATTCAAACTGAATTAAACTGATATTAATGAAAGAGAAAAAGTGTGCAAAAAAGTAGCACGCTTCCTCTGAATGAGCTAAGCCGCTTAACTATATAACACACTTATGAGCGCATATAAATGTATATACTCGTATGTATGTGTGTATATGTATAATATGTGGTTTCATGCATGTTCTGCGGCATTTGTCTATTCACCGACAACTGTGTAATTAAAGAAATCTTCCAACACCGCAACTGTGATACTCGCCAACTGCCTGTCGGTGTGGCTATTCGCTCATTTGGTGCAACAGGCAGTCAGTGAGGCAGTGGAGTGTAGGATTGCATACACGCCAAGCTGTCTAGGCTGGATGCGGCACAAAGTCAATGCAAGTGTAATTTCCTTCATTCATCTACATATGTATATACATACATTCATACAAACGTGCATATGTACAATATATAGGCATGTTTCTGCACGTAGGCCAGCCGTTGTACATTGAATGCAAAGTTGTACAAGTGATAAATGTGATAATTATGTAAATTATATATACCCAATGAGATTAATTGACAGTCCCCGAACGGCGGAAAGCCTGATTTATCTATTAAATATAAAATGTTAGGGTAGTGTAGTGATAAAATGTAATAAATCTTCAACTGGTTGCTACATACTAATTAATAGATGATTCTATGATACGTGTATACTGGTCTAAGACCTCTGTTGATTGGACTATATAGCGAACTGATGCAATTTATCTCTTTGGCTGTAGCTCGAGGGCAACTAGATCGATTAATAATATCGATTTGCTTCAAGAAGGTGTGCTGTTCAATTGTAGTCATGAATTGAAAACCAATTTCCACCGGTTAGAAAAAGCAATGATTCTTCGTTTGATCTGATCTTTTGTGCTAACACTGATGGTGAAAAACTTCTGAAATACTCTTTAATCTTACTTTTACACAAAAGAATTATAAACCGATATGAAAAATATTAAAAATATCAGCCAAATCCACTTTGGCAACATTTAGACAGTGGCAAAACAAACGCGCATTATATATAAAAAGCTGAGAAGAAGCTGTTGACTAAAGGGAGATTAATGTGGTATCTGTGTACTCTCCAATGTTAATAACACCTTGCAAGTATTTTTGATAATATTCATTTTCTTAGTTAGTCTTAAAGTGTCTTAAGTACTGCTGACAATTGAATGGAGATCACCGATCATACTTAGGATGAGCTCATAAAAAACAAGAAAAAACTTGAACTTCGGCAGCATCGAAGCTATAATACCCTCTCAGGTGCATTTCTTATAGTATAGAGGGTATAAAAACATCTTTATCTTGATTTTGATTGGTTAGTCTGAATGGCAGCTATATGCTATAGTGGACCGATCGGAACCCCATATTCGGAGATAGTAGAATTTCTTTAGACAATAATATGTGATATGTCAAATGTTTGTCAAATAAAAAAGTTTTCCATATAAGGTCTTGATTTTGATCGATCAGCTTGTATGACAGCCATATCTTATAGTAGTACAATATCGAAAGTTCCGAGAAATTAACAGTTTCTTGATGAGAAAATGATGCGTAATTTTAGATCGATATCTCAAAAACTGATAGGACTTGTTTGCTTCTATACAGATGGATGGACAGAAAGACGGAGATGACTAAATCAGCTCAGCACGCTTATTATTCATGGTATATGCATATTTTATAGAATATTCGACGTTTCATTCCGGGGAATAACTGTTCAGGTTATAACAATGCAAAATTAAAATTGTGTGTATTTTGTTTGTAATCAATTCATCAAAGACATTACGAATTAATATCGTTACTGCCATTTTGAAAAAATTTAATAGTTAATAAGCTGCAAGTAGGTGTTGCTTTGAAAACACTGAATTGACTATTTACACACTTGTACGCACATACTTAATGTAATTTGATAAATCTTCGCCGGAAGGCAAATATCTGCTGCTGTGATCTCAAACTCAACAACGAATTGGATAGAAGAGAATTATCATATTTAACAGCGCCTTGAAGGTGTGCGTAAGCTCCAAAAATTTATATATGTATGTGTACTCATGTATGTATGTATGTAGCTCAGCAGAGTTCAATGCTGCCGCCACGATATTTTGCCGCTTTATCATTTCTAAGCACGAGTTAGTTTATGTTTAGCGTTGCCAATTAATGATTTTTTAAATTTGAAGATGGGTTACATTTTCAGCGTGAAACATATGAGATTTTGTGCCGAATCACGATTCTTCAAGAGGTTTTACTTAGGGTACTGTTTATTGTAAGGGAGTAAGGAGATCAGCAGCACTCAAGCTGTTGTTATATAATATATTAATTTGCATTTTCGATAATATACTCTAAAATCAAGTATTACCGTGTGAAAATATATTTCGTATATTATGTCTATAGTTTTATAAAATCGACAAAATTTCCGCTTTGAACCATCACGTTATCGTATCTCGAAAATTTACCTATTGGCAATACAGTGTTCATATACAGGTCAGGTAACTAGTTATATAGTGTGCGTCCACTTTGACGGTAAGACCGTCGATCCAACAATCAGACCGACATGCCAGCAATATGCGCCGTCACGACAAACACACGAAGTCCAATTCAAACCAAAGCAAACCAAAAGCCACAAACTCAACAGCCGAGCGTAGTAAGCCAATCACGATCGAGTGAGAGTATGAAGAGAACGACGAGCGACGCAAACGGCTGACAGCGCTGCACTGCCGCTGCCACCGTCAGAAAGGCAAACGTGAGAGCAACTCTATAAAATGAAGCGAAGGTAGAAAATTCAATCAGTTCTGTTACAGTTTTCAGCTGTAAAACATAACTTATTAGAAAATTGTGAGTTTCACAACGTGTCCAAGCTTCCGCGCCACCTGAAATATATTCTTTAGAACACTATTGTACAACAATTGTAAACGGAAATCTCGTGTGATCGTGACTACTTAAAATTTCATGTTTGTTTAATTGTGAGATTGTTTGAAATCAAAACGTTACAAGAACAATACGGTGCGAACGTAATCTGTAATGTCCACTTTTTGCTGCTTAAAGTCTATCGATCGTGTCGTATATCGCGTGACTAAGTGTCAACAACAACCACAAAAGAAGTATCAACTACTCTTAAACAGGCTATAAGAATTTGCATTGAGCATAAACAGACTTCTCAGAAAGCATTAAGAAAAAATAAAATAAAACAAAAAATACAACAACAAAAGAACTTTTTCCCAAAAAGCAACGTTAATTCCAACGAATGTCATATAAATTGCCAACATTGCAAACGCATATCAGTGTCGAGTTAATCACCAAGCAACAGCTTAAGGCGCTAATCCAGTAAAGCACACATACGCACACACATAAATTGAATTATTTCGAAGTTTTGTGAAATAGCGACATAACGAGTCCCATTAGCGATTCCAGAGCGTGCATAGGAACGGCAGCAAAATCTCGTTAACAGCGCGAAGATACTTTGCCAAAACGGAGTCCATACGAGGACCTATGTCATCACAAAGCTATCAATTGTTATTATTGAAAATCAATTCAAAACTCCAATCAAGGACTCAACATAATCTAGAGGTGATAAATTCATTCATAACGTAACACGAGCACAGTTGATTTGCGAGTTTCACAACGTCAAGAAAGTGAACATACAAATTAGCTGCTGCCCGCCTGCCAAACATAGAGAAAAGATAATTAATTAGCGAGTGAGAAAACTCAATTTTGGTGGAATCCAAGAAAGAAAAAACGTATCCTGAACGTGTAATCACGACGACCACAACGACAACAACGAAAATTTATCCTTGAAGAGAAACTTTTGTTTACCGCAATCATTCATAACCGAAGGAAAAAGAAGAAAATCAATGTGAGTATTTTGTGGAGAAATAGAAAATTTGTACTTTTGAAATGCTGAAGTATAGCATTTGAAATATTGAAGAAAGTACTTCGAAGGGTTCGAAAAATTAAGTTTAGTCAGTGAAAAAACTATAGGTAATTGAATAGGAGCAATAGGGAATTGAGTGCTCTGTATAAAATTTATGTAAAATATTGGGAAAACTATGAAATATTGAAATTTCGAAATGTTTTTTGAGGGAATTTTTTTTAATCAAGTGGTTGCACGATCACTGATCTACATTCAGACCTTTTTTTCAAATGTTAATATTAAATTTTAAACCTATTTTGAGTACCTTCTTGCTTTAGTATTTGCGGTTTTTTCTACATGATTTATTTATTTTATTTAATCTAATTTTGTTTTTATCTTAACTTTTTTATAATTTTTGATACCATTCTTAGTACTCATTACTTTTTTGATTCGTCAGATTATTCATAAATATATTTGCAAAGCTGAAAATATATAATTAATATAATATTTTTTTCGAAGGTGTTTCCCCCAGCACTTCTATCTGTTTTTGCATACTTATATACTTGTACATGCATATATGATATGCATACGTCATATCAAAATAAAAATGTTTTAATTTTCTGATGCAACATTTGTCATATATTTGCTCAAACAAAAGCAAAAAATAATGAATAAATGGCAAAAACCTCAACTTGACACTCTAGTCAAGCATATATACATACATACATATATGATATGAGTTGAGTAGACAGTCGTCGAGTTAACCAGACAGCGATTAAATGAAGAACGTTCAAGTGCCTATGGCGAGTGTGCGATCACCTCAAGTGTAGGCAAAAGCTTAATAGAGCATTTAATGTGAAGTATGCATACTACATACATACATACATATGTACATGTATATGTATTTAATGCAAGCTATGCAGTAGCACAGACATACTTGTACATGTCGCGATCATTTACATCAGACGCTCCAATTATACGCACTGCTTAAAAGAGGAAATGAAAAAAACCGAAAAAAGCTATGTAAAAAACCACTTGGCTAGACACTGAAATATTTTGATACATATATATATATATGTGCATCTTTTACACTGTCACTATATCTAAAAATAAACGAGCACAACTTTTTCTGCCGTTGAATGAAGAAATTTACGTCACCAAGTACATTTTTTTCGCTCTGAAATTGTATGTTATGTGGCGGCTTTTGGTGGATACCTTGGCCAAGAAATTAGCCGTTGCCAATGGCTAAGAACTTACACTAGACTTGAGCATTGAAAGAAACGATTATTGAATGTTGAATGAATTAGTTTGTAAATTTAAAACTTATAACGATCTTGTCGCATGATCTGCAATTGAATATATATTGTAACAATGCTGGTTAATACTTTAAGACATAAAAATCGAAAATACTAGAGCCAAATTTTAAAGTTTATTTTGTAATATAATTCTTTAACGTCTGTGTATATATTTTTTGGGCAAGTGGCTGCACGATCACTGATTTAGCTTGTAAGTAGAAACGCTTTTAGGACAAATTATTGGTAATTATTTGTATATAGTAATTTAATTCTTTATTTATTAAACAAAATGCTACTGAAAGTTCAGTTCTCGTTTGAAAATTCGAATATTTCAACCTTGAACCAACCCGGTTCCCATCAGACACTGGTTAAATTTCGAAAATTTCTATCATGAGAAAAATTTTTTTCCCAGATAAAAGAAAAATTACATACATATTTGTATGTATATATGTTTCAATATTATTCGAAGAAAACCATTATAAAACCCAACAGCACTTGCTCTAAATACTTATATTCCAAAGTCCATATCGCCTTAAATAACTCATTCGAATTTCTACAAAAGTCTGCGAAAGTATTTTTTATAGCGTATACTCATACATATACCTTAGCAAAAAAATTTCATCACACATTATTTATATAATAAACTTACTAATCCAATTTAAGCTACTTAGCTTCTGAGCTCTAAATACCACCCATGTTACTTACCATAGAAATACAAATTCATTGAAAAAAAATCTGCGTATCATTCTAGTATGATCGTTCTTACTGACCCATTTAAAGCAAGAAACACAAAAAAATAACAGCAACATATCAGCATTAAGCAATTAAAGCTGTCATTAATGTCGCATAGCCATACAAAAATATTATGTGATCACTATAATACGGAGATCTATTAGAACACAATAAAAATAAATATTAAAACTCTTTTACGAGCGTTTAATAGCGCGCATTAAATGCTATGAGGATTGTGCTCGATCACACAAAGCTTGTCACATATATATGTAACAAACAACCACGAGACCTATAGTTGTACTACACCCAGTAGGAAAAAAATACGTTCGTGTACCAAAATCTAGATCATTCCGGAATTGACTAGCTTAAAGTAGTTGCGTTAGATAAATAGATTTATGCAGTTGAAGCCATTGTGTCAATGTGCAAACAATTTATATTCTCTGCTTACTTGATTATGCGAATGTCTTGTTCGTTTCGTCGGTCTCTTAGTTTTGGTAAAATGAAAGCAACTATTGTATTTATTAAGAATATGTTTTATTATATCATCTATGGCAAACCAAAGTATTTAATTGTTCAATTTGGCACTTGGTTTGTAAAACTATAGTAATTTTTATTTAAAAAAAATATATAATTAGAATAATATAAGCATTATAAATTATAAAATTATTAATATAATTTAAATTATATACATTTTTAATTAAAATAAATATTACTGATAAATTAATTAAATCGAAAGAGCAGTGTAAACTATAAACATATAATAGTATAAAAATTTCCCATTAAAAAAATATTTATAATAATTTATCGAGAGAACATCACTATATGACAAAATATGAACAAATTAAAGTCTCCATAAATTTCCAATTCCCACCACAAGGCTGACTATGCCTTTCGACCTATTAGTGCTTTATGTTTATCCAATTTTAGATATTACAGTGTGACAAAAGCTATAAACTCTTTGAAAATTTACTCAGCAAAGTTTGAAATTTCTTGAAGGGCACACATATTAAATATGTATATTTGCAAAATATGTCCGAAATTGTGATTAAATCGCACATTGAAATTCGATTGTATACTTTAACAATTATATTTCTTTTTAACGCGAAATTCTGTATTTGTGTGTATATTATATTTCAAACACTGTATAATTTTTGCTAAGCGCAGCATTATTATTATTGGGAAGCCCACGAAAGGAGAGGCAAAGCTAACGTGGCACAGGCATGACTCACGGCTCATGACATGATTTATAAAATTTTATTTTTATTTTTATTTTACTTTCTTTTTTGTTTTCTTAATTTTTATTTCTGTTCCGATTTGTGTAGAGTTGTTTGAAGCGCTTGGCTGGTCATTTAAGCATTTTCTCGTCTTACCTAATTAGCATGACAATTAGTGTGATGCTACCACCGGTACGACGAGCACCTTGAACACGCTGAAGTGGCTTCTGGATAGAAGCAATTAATCGGTAAAATACATGACAACGCTGCAGGCAAATATATAATAAATTATATATAGTTCTATATATATATATAGTATACTACTAAATCAAAAAACCAAAAAAAAAAAAAGTTAGGATCACTTGCTTTACAAGTATATAAGTGTTCGGCTCATCTGGGGGCTTTCTAGTGCGCGCAGTGACGGTCAGTAAGTAACAAGTGTCTACCAATCACCTTGCCTTAGTTTGACGTTTATTAATTTAATTAATCTAAATTTATTTCGCTCATACAATAAGCGATAAGCGAGGATCATACATCATATTTGATTTTTCGATAACCTCAGTTTTTGTGTGTGTGATCTATGCAACGATCTATTCTATATGCGCGTGGCCACTAACCACCAAATAAACTCAAACGGCTATACACCTAAGAATATCTATACTATACTTAAATATAATATATACGCATGTCTTCGATCGTCCATTTCGAAAATATGAGTGGTGACAGTCGGCTTTACGAGATTTCACAAAATTTTCTTTGAAATGTCACGTAGGCACGATAGTAGATTTTTTAAAATGATAAAATAAAATAAAATGAGAGAAAAAAATCCAAAGCAGTATATAAATTTGCAGTAGTAAGTAGAAGTGAACTTCATTGGCTTTTGAGCAATTTACTTAGTGCTTTTAAATTTATTAGTGCCGCTAGCTTCCGAATTGCGACCACTGCTTCTTCATTTATACTAGGCATATCGCTGAAGCGCGAGTACATTTCAATAAATTTAAAAATTATATTAATTTTTTTTTAAAGCTTAATTGCATTAAATTTTCCTTATCTATCACATTTGCGCGGTTCGGTTATATGATTTCCTGAGGTTGATTGACCTATTTATGCTGCATAGCTTTATTGTCGCATATAAATCTTTTTGAGATTTAATTTTTTTAAATCTTATATTTCGACAATTAATCTTAATCTGTTATCGTTTTTTGCATTTCATTCACAGAAAATGAATATAAACACATTATTAATAGCACAGCTTGTGCTTTTCGCCGCCTGCATACAGGGCAGAGCTATTGAAGATGTCGACAATTCGATTGAGAATACCGGTGAAGGTGATGGTGAAGGACAAACGGAGAAACAGCGTTCACCCTTCGAGCATGACTGGATCAAATTCGCTAAGAAACCACCAACTAAATTGTTGCAGACGTTCGGTCAGCCAGTTGAGATTGCCTGTGAAGTGATGGGCTCACAAGTGCCCACGATACAATGGGTTGTGGGACATTTGCCATTGTCTGAGGTGAGTTTCAAAGCAAAAAACAAAAAATTAAGATGCTTTTCATATTGTAAAGATAAAAAATAAAATTTAATTCAGACAACAACATAAATATATATATTTAGTTGACTTTCTTTTAAAATAACTCAACTAATTTTACTTTCTTCGCTTTCTCTCTCCCCCTCCTTTTTTAACGACAGATCGACAGCGTTGAATCCAATGTTATATCCGAATCATCAGCGAGTGCCATCGTGCGTGTACGTTCTGTACATGTCATCGATCATATGTTGAGTGAGGCACGCACCTATACATGTGTCGGTCGCACCGGTGCCAAGACCATTTACAGCTCCACAATTGTCTATCCACAAGCGGACATGAAGGAGCTGATGCAAGTGCGCGATAAACCATTCTCTGGCCCACAGAAACCACGCATTGTCTACCACGAAAAACTCCATTTGGACTTGGTCGACTCGAATATTGTATTGCCATGCAAGGTGCATGCTCGTCCACGTGCTGAGGTCTTCTGGATGAATGGCGAAGGCAAATTAATTGAACCAAATCATCGTTTCAAAATTTTACCCTCCGGTGATTTGCTACTCTCAAATATCAAGTGGGAAGATATGGGCGCCTACAGGTGTATAGCACGTAATGCTATGGGCAAGGATACTGCGGATACGTTTGTCTATCCAGTACTTGTAAGTGTCTAATTAGTTTGTGTGAAATCGAATAGAACACTAAAAAAATTTTAGAAAAATTTAATACATTTTGGAAAAGCATTTAATTAAAAACTTAAATACTATTAATTGGCATTAGCGTTGCCACATTTTCACTCAGAGTAACTTTTAAATTACTTTTTAATATTTTTTTTTTGACTTTTCAATATCGTTTTTAAAGAGAAGATAAAATATTTATACAAAACATTTTTTTTTGCAAAAACCTATTCACTTTTTTTTTTTAATTTTTCAATATAGTTTATATAGAAAACATAAAATAATGTTGTAGCTATTTATACTAAAAAAACAATTTTTTGCTCTTATCATTGCAGAAAGAAGACAAATAAACCAATTGTGGATATGTGAAAATGTCGTCTCCCCACCCACCTAAAACAAACACACACACACACGAAACATTACACAAGGCAGTTGTACGTATGTAAATGAATGCACACGAACATAAAAAACGGTTCCTAAGTGAAATATGATACCATTGTATTGTACGTTTTATTATAGATAGTTAAAATGCCTGCAAAGGTGCTACCCCATATTTGCGTATGCTTTTTATAAAATACAAAAGCAAAAAAAAATATATAAACTTAAAAAAAATATTTAAAAAAAAAACACAAACATTTCCAATAAAACAAAAAAAAAAGAACAAAAATATTTAAAAACAAATTAAAAAAATTTTAAAAATATTTTTTAAAACACTTGAAAAAAATAAAAGAAACACAGAAAAAATGTACAAAAAAAAAACATACCAAATAATAATAGGCTATTTTATTAAATAATTATGTAAACAAGTATATACACAAATCAAAATATGCACACAAACATAAAAGTATAATTTTTAAACAAACAAAAAACGCTAATGAAATGTAACCAGCTCAGTTTCTTTCTTTAATCCGTGTATACTGGCAACGCTTGCCTTGCGCATGCCTAACTGTACACAAACACATAAACATACACAGGCACACGCCGCATGTCGGCAAAGCTACAAATAACCGCATTAAAACTATAAATTATATCACCGATTCGTTGTGCGAGTATACACAAGTCCACACACACATACATGCAAACATACGCAGTTAACAAGACTTTGTTTTTAATATTATATAATTATGTATTACCTTATTTTTTAAATATACTAGTTTCTTATTCGCAAATTGCACAATATGTTTTTTTTTTTCTGCCATCTACAAGAGCAGCTAAATGTTAATTTATAATTTTTTCCGTCTCGAATGTATTCACAGCGCTTACAAGTAGGAAACTTAAGGCAAGCAACCAACAAATTACGTTCCACTTGCATATCAGTTAAACTTTGTGTCTTTGAAATGATTTGTGTTTTAGTTCGTAGTTTGAGTTAGTCATTAGTTTGCTAATTTTTTACAACAACAATACCAGTCACTTATATGTGTACATTTACGTTAGTTTTAGTTTATTTAATTTAAATTTAAACAATTAGTTTAAAAATTGGCCGTACTTAATTTTCACTTAACTGAAAAGTATTTAATATTTTGTTAAAAACGCACAATGTTTATACAAGAGCACACACACACAACTCACATATAAATATATATATAAATCTCAACTTGGCAACGCCAATACATAAGCATACATACATACAAACAAGAATCCATTCATATCACTAAGCATTAACTTATTTATTTTACCGAATATCTCATTACAATAGTTGTTTAGCCGAATATAATGAATACAAAGCAAAAATAACAAAAAAAGCTGAAATCAGTAACAACAACAACACACATATATGCTCTCTAATTTATATTAATTTAATATTGTAATTCCACACATTTACTTATTTAAGTTGTTTTCAATTACTTTTTCCATAATTAACTTATTAAATTAATATATATGTTTAATTAAGTTAATTACAATTATGTATAATATAGTTTTGTACTGAACTGATGTTTAGAAAAGACACACAATAAATCGCTACAATAGATATAAAACATATAATTTTTGTGTTGAGATTGTGTAAAAAATATACAATTAAAACTATGAAAAAAAAAATTCAATAAAAATTAACAAAATAAAATATACTCACCGTATTTTCAATTTAAAAATTGAGATTTGAAAAATTTTTATTAAAAAATAACTAATTATTGCTGCAGTCGTAAAAAAAATACTTGACGAAGATGCCGCAGCAATCCCACTTCTTATGGTCGCCGAGAAGTTGAGTGGCATAAATCTGAAAAATTTTAAACAAATTTTTCCCCCAAAAATTTCGTAAATTTTCTGCTGAAATAATATTACTCACGAGCTCCAAAAAATAATATTGTGCAAAAAAAAAAAATTCCATCCACAAACCCATTCCTAAGCCCGGAATTGTTTTTTTTGTATCTGGTCACCCTAGAAAATATTTTTAAATTGAAAATTAAAGAGTGCATTTCCACCAGGCTTGCAGAAATCATCAGCAGGATGCTATTTATTTTTGTGTCGCACGAAAGAGCGTATGAGAGAGTGCAGTTAATTGGCCAATCAGATGCGCGCTGTTTTGCATGTGCAATGAAGCACAAATGCTTCTGGCTCTCAATTTCGCACTTACTCATCTTACTCATTCACATGCATTATTATTTATAATAAACGTCTAACGACGATTTGACAGCCTACATGACTTTTTGTTCGCCTGGTATGGGGCTGAGCAAAATCATAGTATCAAATTTAAATTTTTGGAAGACGAGAAGCTAGGAACTTCAAAACTGGGATTTTGTTATTGGTTTGACTTTTATCGAGTGTAGATGATAAAATGATCTCTGCTTCAAAGAAATGGGGAGAGAGATCGATCGATTTCCAAGAGATTGATTTTTTGGTATGGATTGACATGTAAGGACAAGACGTTATACAAAAGACGATGTTTTTTCGAGTTCAAATAAGTGAATTTCCACTTTTACCAGGCGCACAGAAATAAACGGAAACTAATATCGAATTACTATGAGAGGCTGAGGACCTATTCGGAAAGAAGAGTGCTAAACGAATCAGCTTCGCGAAGGTGTATCGTTTATAAGACTATATATGTAATGGTATTCTCTTTTGATACGCTGTTTACCTACTGCATTTGGTGTTCTCCTGGTATTTCAGCGTGGGCTGTTTTTACTTTTCTAGATCAGTTTGACTTAATTTCTTATTGGTATATTATAGCGATAAAATAAAAAATCAAATGTTGGGAATCATATTTGAATAGTCCCCTTATTCCTCCATGACTTTTTCAATCTAGTCAATGGGATTAAGTCGTTGAAATTTGAACTGAAATCTTAATAAAAAACATATAAAGAAAATAAATATTTTCATATTTTTGCATAAAAAACATTATTATTGTTTTTAAAATTTGCTTATTTTGAATTAATATAATCATACATAGATTATATCCAATTTTCCTAAAAGTTTTTGTAAACTCGGGATGCCCTTCGGCTTCTGGTATTAGCTTATCTTTTTTCTTGACCTCATCAGACTTTCGACGTAATCCCTAGATCGAACATTCTTGTATCGCAAGCACGATATGCTTTAATACTTATTACTTGAAACCTCGTTAAAAATTAGAGCCTCTGTGTCGAACTTATGGCCGCTTAAAGCATCAAAGCAATCTTACCTAAAAAACAGTAATTTTACTTTATGGACATACATGAAACGTATCCAAAATCTGCGAATAAAATAAGAGACCCAATACAATTTATTCATACATAAGTTTATAAATTTATTTAGTAATTCTCAGCTGTTGCACTTCTACATATAAATTATTCATTCGATATACATACGTAATCATAAAGCAATACAATACAATACAGTTAAAATTCCATACATTTCAATTATTTGACACTTTCGTACAATTTCTCCTCGCAATGGATCATAAGAAACCTAACATGGTACGTCGAACACACATGACAGTGTTTTTCTATTTTTCTATATTTTTGTTTTATCTTATTATTATTTTATTTTAAATGTACTTTTGAGTTTCAACAATTATTATAACCAATTATATATGTATATGTGTTTGTAGACATACAAGCCTTTGTAAAATGACAGAAGAACCAACGCAAATTTACACATATGTACATACATATACATACATTTAAGTACATATATACATATTTATAGCAATGTGTAGGCTTCTGTCTGACTTGTATGCATTTAGAATTTTGTTAAACGCACGATTACTCTACATTATCATTACATTACAACTAACATAATGCAACTATATATAAATATTGTTTGCAGCAAATCTGTGAATACCATCAATACAATACTCTATACATAAATGTTGGTACGGGGTTCGCATTTTCTTTGTTTTTGTTACGTAACTACATTTCAATACTTTTTTTTGTATGTTTGTCACATTGACATTGTTATGTAAATATTACAGTAGCTATATATGCGACTAATTTTTGCATTGCTATTTTTTATCAATTTTTAACATTATTTATTGTTTTTGTATTTTTCTCACTGCAGTTATCTTTCCTGAACTTCTTTTTTATTTTTTTTTTGTTTTGCAAAAAAGCACCACCAGTATTTAGCAATATTCAAATTAGGTGTTGGAAAGTAATAATTATACTAAATATCTATATAATATTTTATTCATTTACAAATAGATATGTGCAACGTGCGAATTATTAATTAATTAATTTCTTTATAAGCCTCTTTTTGAGACACCAAATAAACTTGCAATAAGTTTAGATTAAATTAATAAGGTATTATTTACTTTTATTTGAGAGACTGAACCCAGATTTTATTTTATATAGCTTTCTTTTTTTCTACTTACGACTTGCGACTGAAATCACCGAAATGTTGACTCTATAAAGAACAATATCGGCTTTATATTCACAGATATGATGAATATATGAAGCTCTCACAAAACATATTATATATGATTTATATTATTGCAACTTTCATTTTTAACTCGAACAAAGCCAATTAAGTGGTCAGACCAATTTTATTTTGACACTCATGTCAAACATTAAATTTGAAAAGCCAATTTAAAAGTCACACCAAGCTCTACGATAGCTTATTTTTTAATAAAAAATAGAACATACAAATTGCTCAAGAACAAAACCTACATCTTATACCTTCAAAGAAATGAAAAAATTTAATAACATTAAGATATTTCCTAGTGAGTTTTGATTTTGCTATAACATGTTCGAACAGCTCGGACAATTAAATAGTCGGTGTTCTATATCCTCAGAAATAACATACTAAAATTTGGTATAAATATTTTTTGAATTGCAGCCTTCTGAAATATAGCCGCTTAGTGCAATCAGCTCCATCAGTTTAACATTCTCGAATTTAATATAAATATTTTTCTGCATGTTCTGTTCTGCATATAATTACGTAACAGTTTTTTGATTTGATCAAAAATTTAATTTTGAATCTGGTCAAAAAATTACCAAAGTTTTTGGTAAAATTTAACTTTTTTAAACACCGCCATTTTAAAAATTTTTGATTTATTTTCGACAGTAAGTAAGCACGGTCAATATCTTCTAGCAGAGATATGTCAGTTGTTGTATGATTTTTATTTAGAAACGGTTAGATTTGATGAAATATGATTATTGAACGAATTTAGGGGTAAGCATATCGTACTGCTTCAAAGAGAGAATTTAGAGTACAGTACTCTCACGATAAGCACGATTTCACAAAAAGTTCCACCTAGCTTGATCAAATTACAGAGCACTCGGTCAATTACTTGTAAGTAATTTTCTATTGGTAATGTAAAAGTAATTTAAAATTGATTTTTAAACATACTAATATTGAAAGTTGTTATACCTTAAACGGAATGGATAAAAGAGGAGTGAATTTATGGTTTTCAAGGTAAAAAGAAGAGAAGAAGAACAGAGCAAAATTCGCTATTATAAAGGTTCGAAGATACGGTGGGTGTCTAGAAAAATTTATGTTTCGAATTATTTTAAAGATCTCATTGAGCTTCAAACTTTTTACAGCAGTTGTGGAACGATAGAAAAGAAACGATCATTTAACTTTACGCTAATTTTGAGACTTTCAATAATCAAAAAACAGTTTTTACAATTACTGACGCAAAAAGAAAGAAAATAATAGTTTTGTAATTGAAAACAAAAAAAATATCAGTTATATACTAATGAAAATTTTAAAATTTTTATCAGAATTTATTAGGAACGAATTCCACTTGCAATTCAACTCAATGAAAACCAAGTACTTAATCAATAATATTCTACATAAAAAATGTAAAAGATAAAACTCTATATATCACAACTTTTTCTCTGATATAATCTCAAAGAGTTAACAGACGTGACAAATATTGACGGGTCATAAAATTATCAAATGTGGCTAAAAGCACCTGCATGTGCCAAGTGCAACAACACTATTTATAGAATGTATCTATGTATGTGTATATTCATTTCATTAAGCATGCTTGTATGCTCAACTCATTTACGCTCCAATACTACTCATATGTGGTTGACTGGTGGGCACACTTTAATTTATTTCTTCATTATTAGTATATATTCATTGACAAATTCAATATTGTGAAATTAAAGTTTTATTTGAATGATATTGAGCGCGCCAAACGGCCTGCGCTGTCGGTGTGGTTACCACGCCAGCTGCATACATGCCGACACACATAGATACTGTAAAGTCCACATGTTGTCGCCATTGATTATCATGTCTTACCAGTATACTATATATGTATGTATGGAGATATGTTCGTGTGCATGTTTTGCTGTTGCTATGCGCAACTTATTCCCCACATTTCATTCATCGATGACTGCTAGTCAGCACGGCAATAGTCGATTTCAGTGGTGCGCGCTGATGTTTCGAGCAAAATATGGGAAGTGGATAGTGCGTTCATTCATGTATTTTTCTCGGAGTAAATAGTGCAGTGAGCACTAAAATTGACGACTTAAGTTAGAAAATGAAATTGAAGTTAGAAATAAACATTCTTTCTTGTAATGAGCACACAGCATTATAAATTTTTATAGAATAAATCGGGAGAAAAGTTTGGCATCTTGAGTTAATTTGAGAATTGAATGTGACAGAAATATTTTTGGGGAAAATCTATTGAAATTTATTAATTTAGAAATCGGAGGCGGAACTTATCAAAACTTTGTTGCACAAAATTCTATCTCCATCGATTCGCAAAAGCAAATAACAATTAAATGTCTAAATTTTAATGCTTAGATGAATACTGATTGAAAGTCGTAGCTTTTTATAAAAATCATTTTTTGCTTTAAAGAAAAAATATTTCAAAAATAATTTAAAACTATAATTTAACATTTTATATGCAACAAATTTAAAAAATAATGCGGATATCGACGGTTAAAGCATATAAAATACATACTTTCAACATATAACGCAACAAATTAATTATATAAATCATTTGCCTTGAAGGATCCTGTTACCAAAATTTTTTTCGATCTTAGCAAGAGTATTCATATTTTCACAATTTGCTTGTTTCAAATAGCCCGACCGTTAGGTAAAGTTTCCCAGTTTTATTAGTGAACCAGATTGGATAGTAGATCAGGAATTTATTAAAAGCCTAAATCGGTGGTGAAAGCGATGGTAAAATGAAGCTAGTAGTGTTTGAAATAATTTTTATTTTTTTATTGCTTACGAATTTCCGACTTTGACTATAGCTTTTATCATATAAACTTGACAGAAAATTATATACACCAATGACAAAAGAGGAAATGGGTGATATGCCTTTATGTTTTTGCATTGTTTTGCTATTATTTGAATTTCGAAATTTGAAGGTAAATATTTCAATTTTGGCTCAATCTCTTGAAAAGCAATCTATAAGGAATGCATTTTAGATTATATACAGATCTCTGGAAATTGGACAAAAACCAAAAAAAAATTTAATAAAAGTTGAGTGTTCTAAATAAACAGAAATATTATAAAGTAATATGGTGATTAAATTTTTAATATTTTTTATTCACTCTATTAATTTTTCAACAAAATTTAGTTCAGATTTTGCTGTTTATAAAGCAAGCGAAAATTGGACAACTGCTTAATTGACCAGTACAGTACTTAATGTTAATTCACAAACGGTAATTAAATCTAGCTTACATACAGACGAAAATAATGAATTAGTAGTAATTAGATTAAAATACAAAGCGTTAGCGACATTAAATTCACTGGAAAGGACTAAGTAATAAATACAATTACATAACAAGACATACAAACATACAAGTAAATAAGCAAAGACACAAACTAGTAAACTATGTTGCTGCTAAACAAACTGCTGCGACAAGTACAGTGACCAGTTAATACATATGTGTTACTTAATATGTATGTTTTCAATAGCTGTAGCCGACTTTTAGGCGCCCAAACTATATGTGTGTATATATTCTGTTTTACCTGTTCTAAATCAGGCCTGTTAGTTTTAAATATATATTTTCCGCCATTATTTTATTATTGTTTTGCTTTCAATTCTATTTTTGTGGTTTTCTTGCTGTTGTTAACAATACAGTAATCAGCAGTTTATTATCAATGAAGTGGAGATTTTGTATTTTATCCTTCAAATTAGCAGCTGAAGTGCATATAATTATTGTAAAGTGGTTTTTCCTTCTTTCTTTGTGTGTGCATGAATTTATTCTATTTTTATTGGAGAAAACCACTCAAAAACACTTCTCAGCTTAAATCAACGAATTGCGTGGGCTCTTATTGTACTTACATACATACAAACGCACATATGTAAACACTAATGAGTGTTAATATATTGTATATGCGTGACAACGTTTTTACTTTAGTTTTGGTTGTTGTTTTGCTACTTTGAAGATTTCTACACTTTTTGGTGCTGCTTCAACGCCTAAACTGTAGCTAATCTAATTACAAGCACACACTACTACTACATACCCATTGCAAAATTCGTTTGTTTACTTCATTTATTTGCCACATAAAAGTTAATTTTCTTTTCGGTTTTTTAGCAGTTTGACTTTTATTAAACGTTGAGTACGGAATGCTTTTTATTGTTGCTGGCCGGCACCTGTACTGCAATCACCGCTAACCGGCCATCGCGCAGCGGTGCAAGTATGTGTGTGTTCCCAGGTGTCACCACAACTGTTTGTATTGGAATATGCAGTGGAATGTCAAACACAGGTTTCAAGCTGAAATAAAAATACAAAAAATGTTCAGAAAAATTTGAAAAGCAAATATTTAAAATAAAATTTACATCTCAAAGTAGTGAGTAAACAAACCCCAGAAAAATGTAGACAGAAAATAAAAAACTGTGTATTTAAAGAATTATTGCGACATATTAATATTAAAAACTTCAATATTAAAAAACAAAAAAAAACAATTAAAAAAAAATAATCGTAGGTTGTAAAAATATACAATATATATATATACTTATAAATAAAATACGTCTAAACTAGAATATAGAATAAATTACTCTATTTTGCTCTTTTTTTTAAATTACTTTACTCTATCTATTTTGTTAAAAATATTAAATTTCACTTGTTGTTTCATTTCAAAAACCAGAAAAACCGATAAGTTTGGTTGCACTAAAGCTATGTTATAATACCTTTTCGAAAAAAACATATTCCTTACAAAAATTTGATTTTGATCGGTCAGTTTCATCGCAAATTTCTTGAAGATAGCTCGTCAAATGAAAAAGTTTTCCATACAAACCATTGATTCTGATCGTTCAGTTTGTACGTCAGCTATATGCTATAATGGTCTGATATCAGCGGTTCCGACAAATGAGCAGCTTCTTGGGAAGAAAAGCACGTGCGCAAGATTTTAGATCGATATCGCAAAAATTTAAAGGTTTCGCCTATATACAATTGGACAGACAGACGGACATGGCTAAATCGACACCGCTTGTAATATATATTAATGGGTCTCCAACGTTTCCTTCTGGGTGTTACAAACTTCGTGGTAAACTTAATATACCCTTATATAAGCAAATAATTTTAAAATAACATACAAAATGAATAAATAAACAAATTTCCTTCTTTTAGTTATAAAAATTAAAAAAAAAAACGTATTTTAAATTTAGTTTATTATAAAGTTGAAATTTCGTTAAGTGTTTTATTGCAAAATAATAAATAAATAATTAAAATAAAAATAAAATATAATAATAATAAAGACAATAAAATATAAATCAAAATAATAAATAAATTTGAGTATTTTATTTATAGAAAAACTAATTAATATTTAAGTTAAATTCTTTTAAATTAAAAATGTAACTTTTTATTTATATTTATTTCTGTATTTCATTTATTTAAAGCTAAAATTTCATTTTTTAATTTTAGAAATTTTAAATGTTATAGCTAACATAGCTGCATAAAAAAAAACTTAGAGCTTCAAAAATATGCACATGCATTTGATTAAACAATATGAGCCATTCATCATAGATAATGAGGATATTTTTTATTTATCATAAATTGAAGATAAGACATTCGTAACCTTCCATTTGTATGACTTAACGAAAAATTATTTACTTAGCAAACATTATACTGGGTAGACTATTTTATTGCTCAATAGTAATAATGAGCAATGTCGGAATATATCTCTTAAGTCATTAAGTCCCTTTAAGTTTTGCGTACTTATTTACTCAACACCCACTATAGATTCTTAAAGTTCACCTGCATCGGTTATGTAATAAGCCTATAAATGCACGTAGATATAATATATTATATAATACCACACCTGAGCTAACAAAGCAATAGAAATGATTCATATAAAATTATATGATTTTATGACACCGATATGAAATGATCGCAGCTGCGATTGATTTTTAATTCGTCTAATATTTACTGCTCATTTTTATGAGAGGTACAATATATATAAGTACATATTCATTTGCTTGATTGTCAGAAAGATCACGAAAGGGATGTGGTTATTACGAGAAATTAAATTAAATCAATGTATTGATGACATTACACCGACCGATTGCAAGTATAAAATTAACTGTTTATGGAGATATATGCATTTGAATAAATAATCTGCCTATCAAGATTTTCTACCATAATACAGTAGTAGCAATTACTGATAATTGGTAACTCTCTCTTCGTTGCACATGCACCGAATGACCTGTAACGATGGCTTTAAGTCCGCATATCAATTTGCGGAAACCCTTTTGCGTTTGTCTAGTAAAGGTTTTCGCTGTCTAGTACATAATTTTACTTAAAAAGACCTAATTTGCATCTAGCACTGATATGCGTATAGAAGATAATTATGCTATAGACTTCGCTAGGGTAACGGAGTCGGCATAAGGAATCGAAAGCGAGTCATCTACAAATAAGGCCCACAATCGTGATTTAGTGTGAGTTGCTGAGGATCTTACAGCGCCTTCCTCTAAATTTACTAATACCTTAGAACGATTATCAATTAAAGTAGGTTCCTAAACAGATACAAGGATGCCAAACTTAATCCAATTTTTCTTACACCTTTTATTCTTATAAGTCTGATTCTTAAAGCGCCATTCGCTAGATTGTTGAAAATTTTCTTACGACATGTTCATAAAACCAGGCCTCGTGACCAGTAATGATGCGTTTGATGAAAAAAGGGTCTTCAGATACGTTGTCAAGCATATCTTTGTGACTTCTACCTCGCGTCGTTTATGCAAAAGGTTCATGTTTTTTGGTACAAGTCTAGCATTGACACGCTTCATATCCAAAACATTAACCCAAGTCCATAAGATGTGTTGTTTATCTCTCTGATGTCAATACTACGATTTTCAAACACTATTTGATAAACTTTTTCGATGTTGTCGTCAGTAACAGTGGTGAACGAACGACTCGCATTAGGCAATCTTTCGATGATTTCACGACCTTCACCGAATGATTTGTGCCATTTAAATACTTGTGCGCGTGATAAAGTAGACTCACCGGAATCCTTGTGCAGCATTTTCAACGATTTCGTAGCCGTGATGCCTTTGGAAACTCAAGATTTCAAGCAAACACGTTGTTCATTACTTTTACACGTTAAAAATGGTTAGACAAACCTTACACACATGAGAAAAAACATCACATGAACATAAAAAAAGTTTGTACCAATGTAGGAAAAAAGAACCAGACAAGTCCGGGTCAAATTTCATCAAATGGTATGAGAAGTGTATTCGGCACGACTCAAGTAATATTAAATCTACTAACTATTTTGTATGATTTTCTTATCAATAAAATGTCTAGTAATAGAAACTAATATATAAAATGCAAATATATTTTTTGTAAAATTATTTTAAGGTACAGCTAAAAATCTTAAATACACATTTTAAATTGTTTAATCTTATTACAAATATATAACATGTGTTTCACAATTATATCTTTCAATCACCTGACAAGACACGCTCAAGGACAAACTTTGAAACACTCAGCTTGCAAATGTAAAAAAGTTCTTTATTGCCTGTCAGCAGATTGAAATTTACAATTGGACTTTCCCAGCAACTGGCATTATTAAACACACACATACACACGGTACAGCTTTGTAAATAAGTGTGTGTGTAACTTTTTATATGCACAGCCTATCAACCGAGAGTAATCAAGCAGTTTGCCGGCCGGCCGGCAAACATTTATTAACGCAAATCTACAAAAACTACCGGCACCGCTCAACCGCTCACCCGCCCTCCCCCAGAGAACAAACAAATGCCAGCTGGCAACAGAGCTTGTTTAATAGGCACTCGAACACTTGCTCACACGCTTGCTACTTACCCATGCAAACGACTCATGGTGATATCACCGGCATCGTCCGCCACCACCAAGTAATCGGTAGCCGTATCCAATCCAGTTACACGTCCGGATACATACTTGGAACCGAGACTTGTGCCGTTTATACTGTAGACATGCACCGAATGCGAGGTATCGTCCAGCGCGCTGAATGCAATGTGACCTGGAACAAACCAGAATGAGTGAATTAAATTTTTAATTTATTAAGTAAAAAAAAACAAAAAAAAAAAAACGAGAGATAAAAATGTTTAAGTGGAATGGAAGATAAATTAAATAAATGAAACGCTGCAAAAAAGCAATGAAAATGCACAAACCAATTCAAACATTTTGCTTGGCAATTTACAGAACCATTAAACAAACAAAGACTTGCATGCATGCAAGTGATAGGGACCCTGCAGAGCGAAGCCGCTGCACTGCCGGTGTGGCGAGTTGAAAAGTTTGCATAGAATGTGTGGTGATTCGTAGCGGTACTTATGGAAAAATTATTCAGTTTATAAAGATGGTGTGTTTGTTTGACCGAGTTCCTGGTGACATTTTTATTGTAAATTAATGTATCTTTCCTTCAACTTCTGTGTTGAGGATTGTCATGAATATTGCGTAGAATTAGTTCTCACAACTCCCGGTTCTAAGTTAACAGAATTGACGGTGATTTAATCCGACTGTTAAAATTTTTTTGCGTAGAATATTGTGAGTAAAGAATCCTATAGGTATACTATGTTACTAAAACGATCAGTTGTTTCCTAGCAACCCAGCATGTGTGCATGAAACCTGAACCCAGTGGATATATAGAATGGACCAACAAACTGTAAGACGATGATTCATACTTTGAAGTATCGGGATCGAACGATATATTCGAAGAATGTATAGATTCACATCAATTTGAAAGCAATACTTTTTATTTGGTTTACCACACCCAAAATGATCGCACGAACATTTTCTACTTCTAAATATAGAAGTGTCAGCGATGGATAACGATTACGAACAACTGCAAGACAAAATATCTATTGTATTGTGTTTTTAATGGAATTACAGTTAATTGTTGAAAACATTGCAAAAGTGTTTTGGGGAGTATACCTCGTCACGAACAAAAGTATTTGAGTGGCACAAAGCATTCAGTGATGGTCGTGAAGCTATCGAAAACGTACCTCATGTGAGTTGTCCATCCACCACTGACCTCCTAATGACGACAATGTCGAAGCTAAAGAAACAGTGCTTGAAAATCATCGTGTTGGCTTCAGAGAGATATCCGAGGATCTCAACACCTGTCAACACATTTTGGTTAATGTTTTGGGTATGAAGCGTGTCAATGCTACATTTGTACCAAAAGGCCTGAATCTTTTGCAAAACGACGTCGCATATAGGTCGCATAAGAGAGACTTAACAACCTAGCTGAGGATCCTAAAATCTAGCGAACGGCGCTCCAAAATTAAAACGAAAACAAAGAAAACCAAAATTCGCTGAAGGCCATTCCAGCAGAGGCTCATAACAAGAGTATGGAGAATTGGATTAAGGATTGGCATGTTTGTATTGGCTCAAAAGGACCATATTTTCAAGGCGATAATAAAGAATTGTATTAAAATAGGTTAACATGTAATTGTTTTTGTCAGTACGGGTCCATCAGGTGGTATTTCAAGAGGAATTTTCGGTGTGAACCCACGTCTCTTTGAAACGGCTGCCTCTATATTGGTACTAGAGACAACAAGAATCTATATATGGATCACTCTTCTCGGATGGAAGTAAAAATTACAGATTATTTTATTGATTTAAATATTATTTGATTTTCAATATCATTTCTCAGATGGACTGCACATACACATGCATATATATACGACAGTACAAAACAAACGTTTGCGATATAAACTTAAACAAAAGTTTACGATCACTTGTGAATGTCTAGGCTGACGAGCTCGCCCTCACTAGTATGCACCGGTTACACAATAGCAGTAGGCATCTACATTTCTAATTGACAACTTGATTAAGACGAACCGAAAAGAGCAGCCGCCATAACAACAATAAAAGCAACAACAACAGCAGCAATTGCCGGTAGGCCGGTTGGACCTGACAGTCAAAAGAGCACAACGGAACGCCAACAAAAAAACAACGAAAAAAAAAGACGTGAGAAACTCGGTGTGATTGAATGATTGCAAACACACAACAGCACACAGTCACATGCAAGCATGTCATGCACGGCACTTGTAGTACATATATTTATACATCTGTACATACATATGTATGTATATACAGGTGTATGCAGTTAAATGCCACTTAGATAAACCAGCTGACACGCGAGATTTTTAAGATTTACAACTTGATGAGACTTGAGTCGCCTGCCGAGAGAACGGTTGGTTGGTCGTTTAGTCAGTTGGCCGCAAACACTGTGCCGTAACACACTATAAGTACGAATGCGTGTATGTGAGTGTACCGGTGTGTGTGTGTATTTGCATTCAGCTGGCCGCAGCAAACTTTCAGTTACGACTGGATGCGGTTGGTTTGGCCACCACCAACAATACCACCTTCACAGTTATGCCAGCGATTGCATGTCAAACATTTAGCACACACTTCACACAGAAACACATGCACACACACACACACATACATAAGTGACTTAAATAATTGTTAATATAATCAAATACAATTGACCGCATGCCAATTTGTAAAGAAGTAAAGATTTTTTTTGCTGAAAATTTTTGAATTTTTCGTTAAATCATACTCAATTGAGCCTACAAGATGGGCACACATACATTATACATATTACATACATACATACCTACTTTCACACAAGCTATTCAAATAAGCCTGTGAGTTTTGCACAATTGTGAAATTTTTTCTTGCAATATGAGGATGTGTGGCACTTTTGTGTAAAGCGATGAGAAACTTGCTGAAATAGCGGTAATGTATATACATATATAAAAAAAAACAAGAAATATTGATAATAATTTCAGCGGTGTTAACTAGTTTTATAATAATGCCACAACTGATAAGTTTTATTATGTTTGCACTTATACACAATAGGTCGCGTTCATTTTTTATGCTTACTTAATTAATTGCACTTACTTAATGAAGGTGAGTGCTTTTAATCAGCTCAGCCGTCAAATGTCGTAAGAAAATGCATATACTACAAATAGTACATATACTAAGTACATATGTATGTATACACATACCATATACATATATATTTTATAAGCGATTATTTCCTGTAGTAAAATACATAGAGCTGCTAATTTTGTTCGGTTGAGAAAATTTGATTAAACACTTTCAATATGTACTTACGGATGTAGATACAGTATACTATATGTATGTGTGTGTTCGGACTTTGAACGCCAGTATAGGCGCACCTGTTTATTAATTTAGTGTGATTACAATACTACAATACATGGTCTTAGAAGCGTTTGGCCTGATCGAGAGATCGCGCTACAAATAAAACATCGCTCTCCTTGTACGAAAGAGTAATAACCGTAATTAGAATAATGTCACAGTTTCATGTCATTTGATCTAATTGTTCTCAAGTTATTAGTCTAAAAATGACGTTGCCTCTGCTACTTTTATAAACAATGTAAAGAAATGAAAAGCCGGCAAAACCCAACGTTGATACAAAGAAATTATTTGATAGCTAAGCTCGGGTGTAACTGTACATTTTATACTCTTGCAACTTGCAAGGAACAAATGCGGAGGCACGCCTTTTGGTTTTATCAAAACTTTATATCAAACTCTCAAAATATCGCTGAGATTTCATCCATTTAAAAAAAGGCGATACACTGTTATTAAAAATAGATTCCATCTGAATTTTATTAAAATTTCTTAAATTTTTTTTTACTTTTTTGGTTTTTTTTGGTATAACTAGAAGATACATGTTTCATGAACAAGCTCCAACCTTTTTTTATTTCAGTTAACTGAAAATGAAGCTAAACATCCCGCCAATTGATGCCTTTTGCCGCGAAAGCCTCAAGAGATCGATTACCATTTTGAAAAAAAAAAAAATTTTTTAAATCGGATTTTCAAATTTTAATATGTACTTAATAAACGTACTGAGTGTCAATATCATTCATTTATTTTTTTTTTCTATTTCAAATAAACCTCCAAAAATTGGCTCAAATTTAGACGTTTACAAGTATCGCCCCCCTTATGCCAAAGACAGATATATGTACTATATGTCAAATACAATTACTACAATTTCTGTAGTATGCTACAGAAACCATATGTGTGTCAACCGTATTTTCTACCCCGAAAGCTTTAAGCGCTTCGGCCAAAATCATATGCTTGCTATCACTTTGACATGGAAAACAAAATTAAAATTCAAAAATTAACGTACTTTTTCTAGAAATCAATCTTTTATATTGCTTGGTCGTTTTTATTGCCCGTAGAGATGAGTATTTCCTTTCACTTCTCAGGTAATAAAATATTTAAAGATTCTTTGCTGTTATAAGCAACTTGGCATCATTTCCCCATTATATTTATTTCCCTTTAGTTGATTCTAATTTTTTTGCATCAGCTGATGAGTGTCAAACTTATAGAGCTTTAGTTGTAGTACGGAAACAATATGTCTGTCTTTAGCATATACAAACACTAAATTAGAAATATTTCGTATACAAAAAAAACATACTTTGAACTTCTTTGAATTCGGTACACAATTGAAAGCAACGTTCTCTGGCGAGTCATCACCTTCTTTATTTCTGTCATTTTTGTCTGATTAGCCACAAAATGCGGCCTTCAGCTTTTGCAGCGAATGTTGTAACGAATATGTTCAGGGTTGAAACGTTTGAACCTCCTTGACCATATTGATCTATCATTTAGTGTAATCTTGCGATTAACCCAAAATATCGATTATTCTCATTTAGGCGAGGCCAAGCTGAGACTTGTCGTATTTTATTTTTGTTCATAGGCAGATCATTTTCTACTTCTTGATAACACTATAGCTGTGTCACGTTAGATTCTTTCTCTGATTTGAACAGTAATATTGTTGTAGTTGGTGTTATAATTGATACCAACTTTGCAGTAAGAAATGTCACGAGACTTTTCAATGAGAATACATAGTATACTCCGAAAGTATGAGACAATTTTGTAGATAGCTGTATGTTAATAGATTTCATAAAAATATTTCCAATAATTTTTGGACGAATTTTGATTTTATAATATATACACCATATATTGATTGATTATTTCCGG